TATCCAGCCCAAAATGTCAGTAGTGCCACCGCTGAGAAATCCTGCTTTAAGACAAAAGGTACCAGAAAAGAGCACAGGAATCAAGCCTTCAGTGGCCACCATTTAGTAAAACCCCTGCCGTTGAAACGGTTACCTGCCTCACTCTCAGCTGGCTAAAATTCTTACACATGAAAAAGGAAGCAACCATATCTCAACAAAGTTGGAAAAACAACAGCAACAAATAACCTTCAAAACAGTAAGCACCAAACACCGGGTTTGTTAGTGAATTTTATCAAACATTTAAGGAATAAATATACCAAGTCTTTACAATCTCCTCTAGAAAATGGAAACAGAGGGAATAGTTCCTAAATTATTCAGTGTGGCCGGCATAACCCTAGCACAAAAACCAGACACAGGCATTACAAAGTATGAAAATCACAAACCAATGTTTTTCACAGACATAGAAACAACAGTTCGGCCATGGTGGCTCACACCTGTCATCCCAGAATTTTGGGAGCCTGAAGCAGGCAGACTGCTTGAACCCAGAAGTCTGAGACCAGTCTGGACAACATGGCGACACCTCATCTCTACAAAAAATACTAAAGTTAGCCAGGCATGGTGGCATGCGCCTATAGTCCCAGCTATCTGGGAGACTGAAGTGGGAGGATCAATTGAGCCCAGAAGGTTGAGGCTACAGCAACTTCCGATTGCACTACTGCACTCTAGCCTAGGCGACAGTGCAAAACACTGTCTCCAAAAAATAAAAAAGAAAGAAAATTCTCAATAAAATATTAGCAAATCAACTCCAAAAATGTATTATAAAATTATACACCAAAATCAAGTGACATTTATTCTAAGTATGCAAGTTTGGTTTGACCTTCAAATATCAATAATTGTAATCTATCACATCAATGCTAAAGAAGAAAATCCATATGATCCTCTAAATGGAATAAATCGGTGCAGAAAATGCACTCAACAAATTCTAACATCCATTCATGATATTTTAGAAATCCTAGCAAACTAAGAACAGAGAAAAACTTCCTCAACTTGATTAAAGGATATCTATGAATAACCTGCAACTAACATCATATTCAATAGAGATAAAATGCATGCATTCCCTTAAAATAGAGAATAAGACAAGGATATCACTTCACTAGTTATATTCATCATCCTATTAGAAGTTCCAGCTAATGCAATAAGAAAAGAAAAGAAAAGGTATGAAGATTAAGAAGGAAGAAATAAAACTCTTCTCATATCACATGATTGTCTGTGTGGAAAATCCATAGAATTGAAACACACACACAAACTTCTGGAACTAGTAAGCAATTATAACAAGGTTGCAGGAAACAAAGATAATATACAAAACCTATACACTAGCAGTAAATAAATAGAATTTGAAATTAGAAACACAATACCATTTCGTTAGCACTCCTCAAAATGAAATATTTAGCTACACATCTTTAAATATGTTAGATCTACATGAGATAAACTAAAATACTCTGAAGAAAGAAATCAAAAAATGAAATAAAGAGATACTTCATTTCTACAGATAGGAAGACTCAATAGAGCCAAGATGTAAGTTCTTCCCAACTTAACATACAGATTCAATGCAATCCCAATTAAAATTTCAGCAAGTTATTTTTTGGATATTGACAAACTGATTTGAAAGTTTCCATACAGAGGCAAAAGACCAGAATAGCCAACACAACACTGAAGAAGAATAAAGTTGGAAGACTATTATCAGACTTCAAGACTTACTATAATGCTGAAGTAATCAAGACAGTGTAGTATTGGTGAAAGAGTAAATAAATCGATAATGGAACAGAATAGAGAGCCCAGAAATAGTAGACCCACATATATACAGTCAACTGATCTTTGACAAAGGAGCAAAGGGAATTCAATGGGGAAGAAATCATCTTTTTTTTTTTTTTTTTTTGAGATGGAGTCTTGCTCTGTCACCCAGGCTGGAGCACAGTGCCACAATCTTGGCTCATGGCAACCTCCACCTCCTGTATTCAAGCCATTCTCCTGTCTCATCTCCCCAGTAGCTAGGATTACAGGCATGCACCACCATGCCCAGCTAATTTTTGCATTTTTAATAGATGGTTTCACCATATTGTCCAGGCTGTTCTTGAACTCCTGACCTTGTGATCTGCCCGCCCTGGCCTCCCAAAGTCCTGGGATTACAGGTGTGAGCCACCGTGCCCAGACATCTTTTTAACAAACTACATATCCAATGAAAAAAAAAAGTACATCTAGACACAGATATTACATTCTTCACAAAAATCACCTCAAAGTGAATCACAGGCCTAAATGTAAAATGTAAAACTATAAAATTCCTAGGAAATAATGTAGGAGCAAACCTAGGTGACCTTGGGTTTGGTAGTAACTCTTTAGTTAGAACACAAAGGCACGATCCATGAAGGAACAAATTAATAAGCTGGACTTCACTAAAATTACAAATTTCTACTCTGTGAAAGACACTGCCAAGGGAATGAGAAACTGGGATAAAATATTTGCAAAAGATATATTGAATAGGGACTGTATCTAAAATATACAAACAACTCTTAAAACTCAACAGCGAGAAAATGAAAAACCTAATTTTTTAAACAGACAAAAGACCTAAACAGACGCCTCACCTAAGAAGACATACAGACAGCAAATAAGCAATGAAAAATGCTCAACATAATATGTCATAAGGAACCTCAAATTAAAACAACAATGAGCTACCACTACATACCTATTAGAATGGCCAAAATCCAAAACACCAGCAACACCAAGTATGTGGAACAATGGGAACTCTCTTCCATTGCTGACGGGAATGTAAAATGGCACAGACATCTTAGAAGACAGTTTGACAGTTTCTTACAAAATTTAACATACTCTTGCCATATGATCCAGCAATCATGCTACTTGGTATTTACCCAAATGAATTGAAAACATATGCATACACCAAAACCTGCACACAAATGTTAACAGCTGCTTTATTCATAATTGCCAAAACTTGGAGACAACAAAGATGTCCTTCAACAAGTGAAGGGATAAAAACTGTGGTATATTCATCTAATGGAATATTATTCAGTAATAAAGATAAATGAGCTGTCAATAGCTATTACAAAAGCATGAAGGAAACTTAAATGTATACTGCTAAGTGGAAGCCAGTCTGAAAAGGCAACAATACTGTTTGACGTTCTGGAAAATGCAAAATCATACACAGTAAAAAAAAGAGCAGTAGTTGCCAGAAGCTCAGGGAGTGGGGAAGGGGAAGAAGGAATGGTTGTACAGAAGGCATTTGGGGGTGGTAAAACGACTGTGTATGGTACTGCAATGGTGGCTCCATGACAACATGCATTTACCAAAACCCATAGTACTGCACATCACAAAGACTGATTTCCTAACATAAACTATGCACTGAAATTTTTAAAATTAAGTATTCCTTTGTGTTTAACTATAATGTCTTAACGTTTATTTTCTCTGATATTAGTACAGCCACTTCAGCTCTTGCAAAGTTATTGCTTGCATGAGGTATCTTTACCATCCTTTTATCTCTAAACTCTTTGAATCAAAGGCATGCCTCTTGTAAAAAACACAAGGTGGGTCTTGTTTTAAAAAATCCAGTCTTACAATCTCTGTCATTTGATTGAGGTATCTAATCCATTCACATTTAATTGTTATTATTTGTATGGTTGAAACTCTATCTGCCATTTCAGTATTTGTTTTTTATCTGTCTCATGACTTTTCATTTTGTTAGTCTCATGACTATTCCTTTTTATTGCTTTTCTCGTAATAAGTAGATACTTTCTAGTGTATGATTTTAATTCTTTTAGTTTTTGATGGTTTTAATTTTAGTTCTTTTCTTAGGAGTTGCTTCATACCTGAAGCACTTAGGGAGGCAGAGCTGGTATCAAAGCAGTCAGTTATCTTGTGGATGAAAACTGCTGTCTGCTCTCTCTTGCCTGCTGGAGCCACTGGCTTCTGCTCCAATCTTCCTTTACAGTGACTGATTTTGCCTAGAGGACCTCCTAAGTCCCAATTTGGCCTGTTGCTCAGGTTCCTACTTTCAATCTGAGCCTGATGGGCTTAGACTTCTTGACCTGGGGTCCTTTATGCATCACCAGCTATGACCCCAAGGCCTCCTGATCTTTGAGAATTCTTTCTGATCTGCCAGAAGCCAATGACTAAGCTTCTTTTTAAATACAGAAAGCAGAGGCCTGAATCAAATAGATTGGAAAGGTTCTTTTCTAGATTGGAAAGGTTCTTTTCAAATGCTATTATTCTCTTATTGTTTTAAAATAGTGCTGGAAAAAATGTCTCAACCCTTACTGTTCCTATGCATCATGTCATTAAATCTCTACAAAGTATGAGTTGTGTGCTTTAAATACCCTTGTACCTGACTTAAGAGAAATTATTACTGAAATTGTAACCCTGTTATGATGTGATTATTTAGTGTTAGATTTTTGTGCTATAAAACTACATAATATCTTAAATATGTTTTCTGATAGATCTAGGTCAGCAAATCCCTTCTGGATATTTTTCTCTGAAATTACACTGAAAGAAATAAACAGCTGTCAGGAGTATGAAGATTAAACCGTTAGACTGCTGACTCAGTGCTCTGAAAGTTACAATACGTCCTAGAAAGCAAGTCACATGCCCTGACATTCAAGTACTCATTTTCTTTTGTGAGGATCAACATAAATTAGCTGTGTGAGGTTGAAAGGAGGAAGACGCACAACTGGCAAATATAAATGCATGTACAATCGCCAGCATTCCAGCTGTCCAGGCAGAGTCAAACATACCGTTAATATTCAAAACATGGTTAATGCTTCATTTTGTAATTGAGAAAGCCTATGCTCTTAATGGTTCTCTTTATCCACTGCGCTAACGAATTATGTAATTATTTGTTGCTTTCTCTTGTTTTCCCCTCAAGACTCTATAAAACAGTAGCAATGGAGAGAATAGTTTACAAATATTTAACCAGTGCCTTTTGTCCTTCCAGCCTCTGTCATCTCAAAGTCAAGTCAAGGGGTTTATTGCCTGGGGCCAACAGCAGTTACATTCCCTCTTTGGCAAGAGGCTAGGCTTGGAATCCATGCTTTGTGGATTCGGTGAATTCTTTCAGCCGCTGTTGGAATAGTCCCGGTATGCCTTATAGCTGAAACCATCTCTTACAGTGGAGATGAAGGGAGTCCTTCCATCCACCGGCTGGACCTGCTTGGCCTCAGGGCTTTGATGTGGTAGGAGGAAGATGTCACAGAGGAAAGTCAAGTCTACCTCAGCGTCTACAGGGTGGTGGATAAAAGAAAAGCAGGAAGAGTGGTGTAGTGATCAGGCTGATGTAGGTGCTGAGTGTCCCTCAGGAAGTTCCAACACAAAAGGGGTGACTGAGAGCCACTGGGCGGGCCCCAAGTCCATGGTGCTAGAGCGAAGCCAGGCTGAGTCAGGGCTGGAGGTGGTTGCATGTGTTAGATATAGTGAACCCCAAGTTTCTCTTCGAAGAATCAGTATGCCAGTATGTTCAGCTCTCTTATTCTTTAATTCTCCATTTTCAAGTTTAGCTTCCTTGTAGTTTCAGTAAACAACCATTTCCACCAGTTCTAATCAGTAGTTCACATTTGTTCCCCCCGTCCCCTGCTCCGTCCTGACTCATCCCGGGCACCTGCTGCTGTCACCTGCTTTGGTCACCTGCTTTGAGCCCTGGCTACCTGCTCTGACCTGCCCACAACCGTCCTTCCCGCCAAACTACCCACCCCACCACTCTGGCTCATACCCCTGCTCCCTTTAAAATAGCCGATCGGGACTGTGCGGTCTAAGCCTAGCCAATAGGGGGACTACACAGCAATAGGGCATGAGGACCCCTTCCCCTCCTTGTCCAGGCATGCACTCAGCATTGTTCCATCTGTGGGCCGCACCCTTCCATAGAAGTAAATTGCCTTGCTGAGGAAATTTATATTCAAGTGCCGCTTCTTTTGCTGCTCGGAAAATTTTACTTATAACACATGGGCAGCACCACAGGCACTTGGAGGGGTCTAATCTGGCCATGCCGCACTAGAGTGGTTTCTGTGCTCACAGGTCCCACCATGAACCCTTCAGCCCCAGGCCTGAGCTCATAAGCAAGCAGGAAGCCCAGAAGCCGAGCAGCCAAGGGCATACCTGACGCCCAAAGCAATTCCACCACATACAAGGACACCCAGATACATCCAAGCTGGGGCTGCACAGTACCCATGGAGCCATTTAAAGTTTTGCGTATGTCTCTTTTTTCCTCGTTTTTAATTTCATTTGACACTTTGGTACAATAAAATATTGTGTATGTCTAAAGTTTAAATCAGACATGCCATTTCGTTGGGTTCTGTTGGTTTGTTTGCTTTGTTTTTCTGCTAGTAATAGGAAGTTCTTGAGGAAGGCAAGGAAGGATACAAAGACAATAAGAAACGACACTTGCTCTGCACATCCAAATTGTGGCAAGGATTACTGCGGGTAAGTTCCAGGTTGACAGAAGGGACGTTCACACACACATATGCACACGTCCATCTGCTGGGAGCCTCTGATTTGTGTAATCGAGGTACAGAACTTAACATAAGTGAGTGTCAAAGTAGGGCAAGAGAACATTCACAAATGTCCGACCAGCTCCCGGTTCTTGAACCAACTTAGGCATCGGCACAGCTGATTCTCATTCAGGAGAAGACAGCGCTGCTGTGCCCAGGGGCCCCTGAGCCATTACCCGGCTTTCTAGCTTTCTAGGAAGTCTGCACTAGAGAAGCATTCTACCTCCTCCGAGCTAACATTTTCATGCGCACATGTGATTATGATGCAGACATTATTTTACTTGTGTAACTAATTTTTTAATCAGACTAATAAAAAAAGTTATTAAAGTTTTGCCTGTCTTCGGGACTGTTGGAATGTAGTGAGACAGTGGGATCAGCGACAGAACATCTCCTATGGGGCATTGCATCGTGGTGAGGGGGCACTTGAAGTCTTGGCACAGAGTAATTGCTCTCCTGGGGTGCCAGAGACATTTCCCGTCTCCCATCTGCCTAGCAACCACCAAGACCAAGCACAAACAGACCCTTTCCAGAATGAATCGCCATGACCCTGACAAACCCTTTTCAGAATTTCCTAACTCTTCGACTTAATGGAGTCTCAATGAAGCTAAACAATATTTTTAGGGCCGGGCACGGTGGCTCATGCCTGTAATCCAGCACTTTGGGAGGCCAAGTCAGGCAAATCATGAGGTCAGGAGCTCAAGACCACCTGCCTAACATGGTGAAACCCCATCTCTACTGCAATACAACAAATTCACCAGGCGTGGTGGCAGGTGCCTGTAATCCCAGCTACTTTGGAGGCTGAGGCAGGAGAATTGCTTGAACCCAGGAGGCGGAGGTTGCAGTTAGCAGAGATCACACCACTGCCCTCCAGCCTAGTTGAGGAAGTGAGACTCCATCTCGAAAACAAATACTAATGGGTCTTGTTTTTTAAAATAAAAAAAAGAAATATGCATTTTTAGATACCAACAGATATCAAACATAAAACAAGGTTTTTCTTATATTATATTGAATATATTTATCACAATATCTATTATTTTGTCTTTTACTCACAAGTTTCTCAAACAACAATGATGAAGGCCCCTTTTCTGCAACATTAGGTTAATGTGGGTTTTCCTTACCTTCAGGTATCTTACTGCATCATCCTTTCTTCCCTATTTTATTTCTCAGATCTGTATCTTTGTTTTTAGAAACACGGTCTTGCTTTGTTGCCCAAGCTGGAGTGCAGAGGCATGATCACAGCTCACGGCAGTCTCCAAGTTCTGCGACCAAGCAATCCTCCTGCCTCAGCCTCCCAAGTAGCTCCCAAGTACAGGCATGTGGCAACGCACCCAGCTAATTAAAAAAAAAAATTTTGTGTGTAGAGACAGGGTCTTGCTATGTTGCCTAGGCTGGTCTTGAACTCCTGGCCTCAAGCAATCCTTCCACCTTAGTCTCCCAGCACACTGGGATTACAAGTGTGAGCCATCATGCCCAGCCCCTATATCTATTTTTATCTCCACTCAGTTTCCAGAAGAATTTCTAATGTGCTGATTGTAACGTTTGACACTGTGTTGGGATCAAGGGTCAGAGTTTGTTTGACACGATGGTCAGTAAATCTAGGGCTGTGGGATCCTTCCTTTTGTGGAAAAGAATCCAGTGGAAGGTTGATAGGCCCAGATGTCTTGGAGCTGTTGTCTTTGGCACTGGGCCAGCTGATCATAGCCCAGTTTAGGGGGTAAGCACCAGCAGCACTTGAGGGTATCATCTCAAGGGGAACATTGGATGTTCCCTTTTATGATTTTTGATTCAAAATTTTGATGCATCCAAATTCTGTAGGGCTTCCTGAAGTCTTTTCTGTTGGGCTCATCCTTTGCTGAGAGAATTCATCAAGCTATGGAACCGCATGTGGTACACTAGACGGAAGCCACTCTTCCCACTGGAGGATTCCAGGAGCAGTCAAAATTCTAAAGAGATGAGCTAAAATGCATGGGCAGGATCTGCTATTCCAGGCGATTCACTCAAAGAGATGGCCCAAGAACTGATTGGCTGAGGTCTCGGGTATGGGTGCAGCATCCATCTCCAGTGGTGTAGCTTAGCTATCTGAGTGGGGTGGGGCAGGGTCTCTCTTGGCATTTAGGGTGGGACAATTCTTTGTGCAGAACTCTCCCACACATTACCAGACACTGAGATACCAGTATCCACCCTCTACATTTCTAATGACCCATTGGAGATGGCGCCTCCTCCTCCAGCTGAGACACATTAGCTCTGGCTACCAAATATAAATGACCAATTTCACATCACTTTGTTTAGTTACAGTTTCCTGTTTGTTTCTTTACAGGAAAAGCTACACTTTAAAACTTTCAGTGAATCAGTAGCAATGCTAGACCTGACTGGAATGATGCCATTTCCCCCAGCTAGCTCTCAGCTCCTGACAGCCTTGCAACTTGAAGTGTGGCCCTCAGGCTGTCAGCATCGGTACTCCCTGCTACCTTGTCAGAAATGCAAAATCTTCAAAATCAGAAACTGTATTTTGACAAGAGCCCCATTTGAATCCACATTCCATTAAAGTTTCAGATGCAGGGGCCGAGGGCGGTGGCTCACGTCTGTAATTCCAACACTTTGGGAAGCCGAGACCAGCAGATCACTTGAGGTCAGGAGTTTCAGACCAGCCTGGCCAACATGGTGAAACCCATTCTCTAATAAAAATACAAAACATTAGCCAGGTGTGGTGGTGTGTGCCTGTAATCTCAGCTGCTCAGGAGGCTGAGGCACGAGAATCACCTGAACCTAGGAGGCGGAGGTTGCAATGAGCTGATATCACGCCACTGCACTCCAGCCTCAGCAACAGAATGAGACTCTGTCTCAAAAAAAAAGTTTCGGGTGCAAAGGCTTTAGAGAACACCCTGGACAATCTCAAGACAACTTGTAGTTGGTACAAACCCTTCTGATTTGCACTTTCCTTTTGTAATGAAAGTAGAGACTTTTCTATCAAAGCACCATCATGTTCCAACAACATCAACTGGGCTGCATTATAGCTACAAAAAGGCAAGAATATCAGGTGATCTCAATAGTTCCTAGTAGTTATTCCTATCAGCCAATCACAGTCAAGGCTTGGAGCTGTACCCAGTTGCTTTCATTCTAGGGCAAAAGCGGGAAGCATTGGCTCAGGAGCTATACTGCCTGGGGTTGCCCAACTTTCCCATGTGTCACTGTTGTTATTTTATTTTTAACCAGTTGTTCTTCTTCCTAGTCTAAAGAAAACCCTGCTTGTAACACTCACCCACACCCATTTCCCATTATCTGCAGCAAGAAAAATCCCAAAGGCGCAGGAATACAAATGTGCAAAAGGAAGAAATAAAGGGGGGATTGTGTCTCAGCGCTGCTGGCGGGACTCATCCAGCATAAAGGGCTGCTGTGCCGGCTGTGCTGACGGTCAGCTGACTGCTGGACTCCGAGCATCAGAAGCTCTTGAACCTGCCTGCTCCTGTTTGCAACTGGAGCAACAGTGAACTCAGACCAATTAAAGGTTCAAAAGCTCCCTGCACTAAGCCTGCCTGGGCCCTAGTGAACATCACTTCTTTGTTGATTGTGCTGACTGAACTCATATCTGCCCGGAAGTTAGCAAACAATTTGCAGGATGTCAGAAAGAAAAGGTGGGCAATCTTGGCCAGGCGCAGTTGCTGACACCTGTAATCCCAGCACTTTGGGAGGCCAAGGCGGGTGGATCATCTGAGGTCAGGAGTTTGAGACCAGCATGA